ACTGCACCATTCTTTATTAACTTCTTTGGCTGTTTGTTACCACTGCACCATTCTCTATTAACTTCTTTGGCTGTGTGTTAACTCTTTAGGGGCAGACCAAGGCTTGTTGAACAGCTTCTTCAGTAGCTGGTCCACGGCCGACATCCACAAGCACCTGCCGTTCATCTATAACTTGAGTAGCAACACGGCGTACACCTACAGCCCTGCGTTCAAACAGTAAGTTTTATGCCTTCTACGCCTGCCTCCTCCGGCCAGTGGTTCTCCTTCAGAATCTGTATCACCTTTTTGCTTTTTGAAGGAAAAAAATAACCAAGTCATCCCTCTGCTTGTTTTTTTTTTTTAAATCATTTTACATGATAGGTAGTCAAGGCAGCTGGGCTCAAGGACAGTGGTTCCCAAAGTGTTGCCCAGGGAATACCTTTGGGGGGTTCCTTGCCACCCTTTCAAGTCTGTGGAGTCAAAATGACTTAAAAAATTAATTATAAGACGTTGTTTTCCTTATTTCACTCTTGCTGTCTCATAAGTGGACAGTGGGACTTTACAGAAACACCGTGACCTGGTAAGGTGTTGCATTGAATGCAGATGCAGATGTGAGAAATCAAATGTTTCCCCTTAAAATGGTCGTGTCACTTTTTCTACAGATTAAATATGTATGTATCGCTTTAGTTATATTTTATGAAAAAACATGAAAGATGTCATTCTACAATCTTTAAAAATACAGTTATATAGTTATATTTTTATGAAAAATATGAAAGCTGTCAGTCTATAAATTTTAAAAAAACATACTTATATTTTATAAAAAATGAGTCACTCTTAACAAATTTTTTTAAAATGTCGTTATATATAGTCGTATTTTATGAAAAAATATGAAAGGTGTCGCTCTACAAATTTTTTAAAATATGCTTATACACACAGTTACATTTTTATGAAAAAATATAAAAGTTACGTGAATGTATAGTGGGCCAGTTGTTTTTTTAATGAGTTGACACATGTATTTTGCTCAAGTCTCAGTTTTAATTTCTGTTGCGATAAACATATACAGATAGAACCCATAGGGGCAAAGCGTTCTTGGTTCTCAGTGATTTTTTTAAGAAGGTCGAGAGGTCCTAGGACCGAAATATGTGAGCCCCACTGCTCTGGGTGATGTTCTTATAAGCGAAAATGGAAAATCTGAGAAGAGTTCAGGAGATAAGCGTGGAGCATACATTTTTTTTAACTTTTTTTATTGAACTGCAGTCAGTTTCAACGTGTCCATCTCTGGTGCACAGCACCATGTCTCAGTCATGCATGTGCATACATATATTCGTTTTCATATTCTTTTTTAATTAAAGATTATTGCAAGATACCGAACATAGTTCCCTGTGCCATATGGAAGAAATTTGGTTTTTTTAAAATCTATTTTTATATAAAGTGGTTAACCTTTGCAAATCTCAAACTCCCAGATTGATCCCTTCCTACCCCGTTTCCCCTGGTAACCATGAGATTGTTTACTGCATCTGGCAGTCTGTTTCTGCTTTTAACAGGGGCCATATTGCCCTCCCCCAAGGAGACCAGAGGCTAGTTCTTGGGGACTGAAAATCCTTTTTAATATTAAAAAGCACAGATTTACATATAAAATATAGACAGACAGTGAGAAAGTGCTGTTAAAGTTGCACAAGAACGCAATTAAGGCGGTTAAGGGGGAGAAATGCCTTGGAACATTTCAAGGTTGGTAGGAGTGGTGATAATGAACCAAAAAAGGTTGAGAGGGGATAACTTACAATCCTTTGCAAGAAACCTATTTTCTGGTTTGCAGCTTGCATTGTCCACAATAAAAAAAAATTTTTTTTTTTTTGCGTTCCTGTCATTTTCAGGATGTGACAATTTGGGCTGTGGTTCTGCCCATCTTTGTAAGACTCCTGATTTACTCTGCCTGTTTCGGGGAACTGCCCCATGGGTTTCTAGTATGTTTCTTGGTGTAGAGAAACTAAAACACCACAAACATGGATTGAATGACGGATTAGTTTTACGGCAAGTCGAAGTGACAGGATTGTCCGTCACCCGTTGAGGTGGACCTTTCCGTCCCGCTGTCTGCGCTGAGGCCGATGCTTGTCCCAGGATTTCTGGGTGTGGTCGCTTCCGAGAGAAAAAGCAGAATGTTCTGTGTTTCCTTCTCAGGTTTGGCTCTAGCGCGAAGGTGGTCCACTTCTTGGGGTCCGCGAAGCCTTGGAACTACAAGTACAACCCCCAGACCGGCTCGGTTCTAGACCAGGGCTCCGGGTCAGTCAGCGAGCACCAGACATCCTTCCTGAACCTCTGGTGGCGGGTCTACCACCGCAGCATCCTGCCGCTTTACGAGAGAATCGGGCACGAGGAAGTCCACGCGTCTCCGGGACACACGGTAAGGCGACTGTTCCCTTGAAACCCCAAGAACTGAGATGAGGGAGAAACTCTCCAGGGTCCACAATTGCGTATTTCCCTCGACTCCGCCCCTTCTGATGTACAATCTGTGTCTCACCTAGAAGGATGCTCAAAGAGGCAGGGCACAGTTTTTGTGTGTGTCTGTGTGCGACAAAGTCGTGAATGTGTCGTGAGCAGCACGGCTGCTTCGATTTACAGGACTGATGTGTAAATAATTACTTAAATTCGCCGACTTCCTCAGGGCAAGAGTCACTCACAGCTTAACTGGCTGAGGCTGACTGATTACAAGTTGTCTTTCAATGGGTCGTTTCCCACGTTGAGTCCCCGAGTGAAGTAGCAATCGGAGGCGGTTTCTGAAAAGGGTCTTTAAACTTTGATTGGAAGACAAAATATTATTGATTGGCACCCATCGGATTTTTCTGGTTTTTTTAATTTTTTAATTTTTTAAATTTTTAATTTTTTTTTCCCATTGGATATTTTTAAACTATAACCCTAAATGCTCTTCGTGGTGGAGTTTCTCAAGTTGATTTAATAAGGATGAAACAGCCTGGCAAATGACCTTTCATTATTTTTTTTTAAAGGAAGGGTAGTTGATTTACAGTGTTGTGTTAGTTTCTGGTGTACAGCATAGTGATTCGGTTATAAATAAATAAATATACATTCTTTTTCAGATTCTTTCCTATTATATATTATTACAAGGTATTCAATATGGTTCCCTGTGCGGTACAGTAGGATCTTGTGTATCTGTTCTGTATACAAATCCCAAACTCCTAATTTATCCCTCCCCTTCTTTCCCCTTTGGTAACCATGAGTTTATTTTCTGTGTCTGTGAGTCTGTTTCTGTTTTGTAAATAAGTTCATTTGTCTCATTTCTTTTTAAGACTCCAATATAAGTGATATTTCTCTTTCTCTGTCTGACTAACCTCACTTAGTATGACCATCTCCAGGTCCATCCCTTTTGTTGCAAATGTCATTATTTTATTCTTTTTCATGGCTGAGTAGTATTCCTTTGTATAAATACACCACATCTTCTTTATCTAGTCATGTGTCGATGGACATTTAGTTTGCTTCCACAGCAAAGGACCTTCTAAAATTAGGTACCAGGAAACTATTTCACAGTCAGTTTTTTTCTAGGTATAATTTATTGCTACAGTGGAGTCCAGTGTCAGCAAATGCATGTGTTGGGCCCTTGAAAAGAATTCCTATTTGAGTGTTGGCTATGGGTTTTCTTTGGTGGAGCTGGATGCTACTTTTCAATGAGCAGGACTAAAACTTTTTCTGATTGTTGCCCACGAGTGAACAGGAGTTTATTCAGATTCATGTTGTGGATGCCAAGCTGCTTGCTAGGTATTGCTTGTAGAGGAAGGAAGTAAAGCTTTGAGTTGGGTGGTTCCAAGAAACCGGACATAGAGAGCGGTCTGAGAGACCTGCACCATGTGGTCCTTTCTCCACCTGTGTTTTATCAAAGCTAACTTTGTCTTGTCGCCAAGAGTCCCAGGGCCCCTGGGGCTCTCTCTGTCGGCCCCCAGGTGTGGGATCCCTTGTCTCTGGCCCTGAATATTTATAGGTTATGTGGCATCCGTTGGCCAAGCTTCCGTGTAATGCATGTGGATGTCGGGGCTGAGGACCACCAGCCCCGCAGAGGGTGGGGTGGGTCCTGCGGCCCCGAGAGTGGCTGGAGTCTTGAAGAGATGCAAGGAGGACTTGCTAAGTTCATCTCCCTTTTGTGCAGACTTGCCTCACGGGCGGTGGGGTCCCGTGTGCGAATTCGGCACCCACTGCTGACGGGATGTGTGCAGATTCCACTCCTGGCGCCCGGGAGCCGTGTGCAAATTCACCGGAGGGCTCCAGCCAGCCTTGGCCTGCTGTAGACCCTTCAGAGAGGACCGTGGTGGTGGAGGAGAGCCCTGCTTCACCTGAAGCACACCATTTGGAAGATGTAAGTACTGCACTCTGAGATGCAGAGGCAGACAGTGGCTGCTCAGTGAGATGGAGCAGAGAGGATGCTTCCTGGGCCTCTGGGGAGGAGGATGGAGGGGCGGTACCTGTCCTCAGTTCACTGTGGCATTAGGACCTCCTGCCTTTATTTACAGAATTGCTAAGTTAGCAGGGAGGATGTAGCTCAAATGGTAGAGCACGTGCTTAGCATGCACGTGGTCCTGGGTTCAGTCCCCAGGACCTCCTCCAAAAATAAATAATAAACACTAATTAGCTACCCCCCTGCCAAAAAGAAAAACAATAAAAGAGAACTGGTACATTACACATCACAGCAAACCCAATAAAAGATGTACAATGTTAACTAAAGTTTATTGCCTTAAAACTTTGTTTTGGTTAGTAGAATATTGGTGTATTTATGTTTAAATCTTATCATCTGTTTTAAGAATCTTTTTCGAGGTGGGGTTGGGGACAGCTCAGGGGTATAGTGTGTGCCTTGATTGCATGCACAAGGTCCTGGGCTCAATCCCCAGTCCCTCCATTAAAAAATAAACAAGCAAACCTAATTACTTTCCCCTCAAAAAAGAAATTAAAAAATTTAAAAACCTTAAAAAAAAGCATCTTTTTCTCTCTCCTGTTTTGTCTTCCGTTGGATTAACTTTTAGTTACTCTCTGTCTTACACATCCATTTTGCATTGCTTGGATTATTTTTTCAATGGTTACCTGTAGATTCCAGTTTCCATTCCTCACTTGTTATAATGTGATAAATGGAGTATTTTTCGATACTTTCTGGCAACAGAAGAGCCCCAGAGAACTTTCCCTCCCTTCATGTCCCTCCCACGTTTTGTGTTATTATGACACATTTTAATACTGTAGCCATTCTTCCCAAGCAGATGTATCATTTCACCTGATGTTCACCCCTTGTTTCATGTTTCTATCAGTAATAATTTTTTTTCTTCTCATAGAACTCTCTTTATTATGTATTTCAGTTCAGGGTTAGTAAATTCCCTCAGTGCAGGTATCTGAAAATGCCTTCATTTTGCCTTCATTTTGGACCATATTTCACTGGGTATGGAGTCCTGTTTTTTATTGAAGTGTAGTTGATTTACAATATTGTGTTACTTTTGGGTGTATGACACAATGATGAACATTTTATATATTTATATATATATTCATTTTCAGATTCTTATCCACTATAGGTTATTACAGGATATTGAACATAGTTCTCTGTGCTGCACAGTAGGACCTTGTTGGTTATCTATTTTATATATAGTTCTGCATACATGTTAATGCCAAACTCCCAATTGATCACTCCCTGACTTTCCCCTTTGGTAACCATAAGTTTGTTTTCTATGTCTGTGAGTCTATTTCTGTTTTATAAATAAATTCATTTGTATCTTTTTTTTTCTTAGATTCCACATATAAGTGATGTCATATGACATTTGTCTTTTTCTGGCTTACTTCACTTAGAATGATGATCTCCAGGTCCATCCATGTTGCTGCAGATGGCATTATTTCATTGTTTTTTATGGCTGAGTACTATTCCATTGTGTATATATACCACATTTTCCTAAACCAGTCATCTATTGATGGGCACTTGGGTTGCTTCCATGACTTGCTATTGTAAATAGTGCTGCTATGAACATTGGGGTGCATGTATCTTTCAAATTAGAGTTTTAGCCAGATATATACCCATAAGTGGGATCACTTAGTCATATAGTAACTCAATTTTTAGTTTTTTAAGGAGCCTCTATATTGTTTTCCATAGTGGCTGCACCAATTTACATTCCCACCAAGGGTATGGAATGCTCACTGGGCAATTATCTCACAATGACAACTAGGAAGATATTTCAAAATCTTCTGACTTCCTTTATTTCTCAAGGAATTCATCTTCCAGCCTCACGTGTATACATTGGAAAGTAATCTGTCTTCTTGCTCTGGCTGCTCTTAAGATTTTTTTTCTCTTGGGCTATGGTTTTTATCAGTTTTCTCATAATGACTCTGGGTTTATTATTGTTTGTATGTGACCTACTTGGGGTTTGTAGCTCTTCTTGAAATTGTGTCCCTTCTGCCCTTTCTCTGTCTCCCCCCCCCCCAAAGTTTGTGATTCCAGTTACATCCACAGTAGGAATTTCATCAGGTGCCTTCGACTGGGACACACTTCTGCCATCTGTCTTCCTGTGCTTCAGTCTACTGGCCTGTTTTCCACTTAACTAATCTTCTCTCCGGCTGTGTCTAATCAGTTGTTAGATTAGACCTACATCCTGCCTGCTTTATTTCAGTTGCTGTGTTTTTAGTTCAAATAAACATCAGACATTTAAGAGGGGGTTTTCAGTACTCCCTTGAAATTGTTCAACTTGTCCCTTTATTTAAAGTATTTCTCATATTCAACTGTAGTCTACAGAAATCATACGTCTGCATTTCATGTGGATCTGTTTTTGTGCTTTCTCCTCTTGGTTTTCAGTCATATGGTCTTGTCTTGCCACATGCTGGTTAATTTTTGATGGACTCCAAGACATTGTATATGGAAACGTGGGGATAATTTGAGGCTCTGAATTGTATTATATCCAGAGAGCATTTCTTGTGGGTTTTTTTTTTTTTGGCAGGTGGCTTGCCCACACCCTATTAGAGGTCAACTTGGAGTGAAATTGAGCTTCAGTGTTCGTGAGAGCTGGTCATTTTTCTGATTCTCATTTCAGTAGAATCCCTGGTGAAAGGAGTCTCTCGCAGTGTTTAGCAGATCCCTCCTGGATACCTCATCAATTACGGACTCCTCAGGCTCATAGGACTGCCAAAACGTCTGCTCTCCCCTCAGCTATAACCTCTTAGTTGCCTGGAGGTGAAATACGATGCTAGATGTCTGTATTATACACATATTATACATATATGCATTTTGGGGGCATCAGTCTTTTGAGTTCTTTTCGTCATGAAATTTACTGGCAAGTAAGTAGTTTTACCCATTGCTGAAAGTGGAAAAAATCCCTCTTTGGTTCTCGAGCAGATTTCTATATTTATATTTTTAGCTCTCACCGCCTCCACCAGTAGTTAACTTTCACAAGGTTGTAGCCCATGAGGTTAAGGAGTGCGTCTTCTTTTCGTTCTAATTGTCTCTGCTCAGGTTGTGTCTGTGAGCATCCTGTGTCTGTCTGGGGGAGGGGGGTACCCATTCCCTGCATCATCTGGCTTTACAATGTCCTCTTTCTGTTTTCATCTGTCTAGACTGAAGGTACTTTGATTCTTAAGCTACTCTGTACCCTTCAGCTCCCCCCCACACCTCTTCTTTGAGCCAAGAATCCTATGAATTGTTTCCAGTCCCAGAGTCTCTCTCTTCAAGGTGACCCAAGCTTCTGGCAGCTCGTTAAGGGTATGAATCGGTGAAACACGATCATCTAAGGACAAAAATAAATGTTGTTTGTGAAAGTCGCGTTGTAAGCGTTTGCAAGCCTGCCAACAACTGTCTGAAAGGCTGGCTTTGCACCATAGCATTATTAAGTCCTTGCTCAGAATTCACTCCTGGCTTTCTGCACATGTAAAGAAGGAAGTCCCTACTTGTTGCTAGGAAGAGAATGGGGAATATTTATTATATCCTTTTCAGTTTGTATTTCAGTCATTCACGGTCATTATTTTTAAATAAACCTGTGGTCTTGTTTAGATAGATTAGCATGAGTCGACGTAACTTCTTTTCCTGCTGAAGTTAAATTTGTAAGCATCTAACTTATCTGCAGAACACCAGCGGGAACATTGTCTTATTTTATCATTTCTTATCAAATCAATAACCTGGAGTTACATCCCTTCCAGGGAAGGATAACGTCACGACGGCCCACACAGGATTTATTTATCTGTTCTTTGCGGAGAGAAATTAAGGTGACAGAATTGGTGTGTTCCCTAATCCGATTTGAAACGAATCTTTCTGAGATGACTCAAACCTTCTGGCACTGTCTATTCGCCAGGCTAATCGCTCCACTTGTCAGTTACAGCAGATGGTTATGCTGTGTATTATTAAAGAATTTAGGGCTCCGAGACAGTGAGTAATGTATCCAGCGCTTTTTAAAAAAAAAGGCTGTCGGGTTTTAAATCTAGAACACTGATTGCCACTCTCCAACACTGACTGAATAAGGAAATTATTTATTTGTATGGTATTTGTATTTGTATAATAGTGCAATTATCTCATCCATCATTTACCCCCTAAAGGGACATCATTCCTTTAGGAACATTTCCCTAAAGGGGGAAATGATGTGTTCTGTGGACCATAGTGTAGGATGTAGTAATGACGTGGGCTGTATCGGGCTTGGCGGTCAGATAGGTGTGTGTTCAAACCCCTGTCTCTCTCACTGGCCACCTCTGGCGTGTTTAACGAATGTCTCTGTCTGCAAATTAAACTTTTCACCAGTAAGAGAAGGACTCAAACCATTCCCCTCATAGGGCTGTTGTGAAAATTAAAAGGAATAAATACCTAAGAAGCTAATGAGTACAATTTAAGAATCAGTCTTGAACACCTCGTGAAAAAGACTTGCTATTATCCTGGTCTTTAATGTCATGGATAACGTTATCCTTTTGCTTCCAAGAGTAATTGTTAGCACTTAACTTTAATATTTGGATTTGACATACCATCACGATCGAGAATAAAGAGCCCATATTTTGGTTTCCACTTTCAAGTTTAAGAGATAGAAAAATCAGAATTAACAGAAAGCAACTTCATGAATACAGGGTTATCTTCTACATTAAAATTTTTTTTAACTGAATTTCACCAGAAATGACTTTTGGGGAGAGGTTACTTTTGTCCAGTTTTTACAGCAAACTTATTTCACTTTCTTACCTCTCCTTTACCTCTGCCTCAGGACATTTGCACATGCGGTCCTGTTTTTCTCAGCATGTTCTCCTTCTCACCCCGTCTCCTGCTCAGCTCTAAGACTTCATTTGAGATGTTACTCCTTCAGGAGTCCTTTCTCTCCCGACAAGGTCAATCTGACCTTGATAAACCTGCTTTTGATTCTCTGTCATTTTCGTTTACAGGATTTCTTGCAGATTGTCATTTTACAGTTGTTATTTGCAGAAAGTCCATCTCTGTCCTCTGATAGTAAGCTGCACACGGCAGGTCTCATGCTGGCAGCCCACTCTTCTTCTTCGTACCCAGCTCTCCGTGAATATCCTTTGAACGCATAGATAGGTGCCTCCGTTAACACAGGGATGACCTGGACTTCCTGCAGAACGGGAAAGCTGGGACCAGAGACTCGGGAGCTGGGTCTGTGCTTTGCCAGCCTCCATCTCAGGTCAACTCGCTCAAAACCTCTGGGACTGTGGTTGGAGAATCTGCATTCCCAGGGTGGAGACTCACTTAGGATGCTGGTCAGGCAGAGAAGCCCACATTAGGGGTCACCCCAGCTCACCACGCAATTTCTGCTGTGTGTTTGCAGCGAGGACACACAAATGTGTCCACATTCTCTATACTCTTTGGCTGACACTTGTACGTTATGTTGCTGGAACCTTTAGGTTTTACTGGAATCCAGGCTGGGGGCGCAGGCTTGGCCCCTGACCCTGAATTCCATCAGAGTGGGCCAGCTGCTGTAACAAACAGCCCCTAAATACGCAAGAGTCTGTATCTTGTTTGTGTCCCGCTCAGCCAAGGTGGCAAAGGTGTGCTCTGCTCCACATGGTCATCCCGGGATCCAGGAGCCTTCCATCGCTCTGCTCCGTCTGCTTCTAGGGAAGTCCTTGTCCTGGGTGGCTCCTTGAGAGAGAGTTAGGCTCCCAAGGAGGCCCTGAGATGGTCTGAGCTATGTACCGTCCTTGGGAGAGCCAAGAAGACAGTCGCTCAGATGGTTTTCTGCGGCATTTCATCGTCTTGTGGAATTCCCGCTGAAACTGGAAGAGGTTGTGGGCGGGACACCTTGCTCTTTACCTGACCTGTGGGGACAGAGGGTAGGAAGAGTGTGCATCACCTCACCACCCAGTCGGAGGGTGACTCTCGTCACATGTCCTCAGCATCCGGGGTGAGAATTCATCCCGTGGTCTCGCTTAGATATGAGGAGCCTGGACACGAGTTGAATGTGAGCCCACGTCCGGGAAGCGGACACTAGTGACAGTGGGCACAGCGCCGGGCCACAGCCCTAGTCCTCGGCAAGCCGTATTTGCATCATGGAGGCAAAACACCCCAAAACAACCCAGATAGGTTGTTTTCAATTATTTGCTTGTCCTAACTGGATTTCACTTTTTTTTTTTCTTTATAACAGATGATAGGTTGGCCTGAAACTGAGACTTCCGCTGGAGTGATGTGTGACCCCTTGTCACCAGCCTCCCCTCAGTTCGCAGACCTCACAGAGACCCCGACCAGCTCGGTACACCCCGTCCTGTTTCTAAAGCACGCCCGTCTCTCTCCGTGTTGCGGGTTTCTCCGCGTGCCTGTGTCCACTCTCACGACCGAAGGAGAAGGCCCCTGCATTCCTTCTCCGTCCCATCGCTTCTCTGAATGCTTTTTCCAGTTGGGTTGTGATGAGTCAGTTATTAGAGAAGAGACCTAGTTGTCACTTCAGATTCCTTCCCTCCTCCGTCACTGGAGTCTTGTGTTAGTCACCGGGTCATTCTCTTACATCTTGCTCTAGGAAGAATCAGAAAAGAAAAAAATGAAGCATCATCCAGCATATATCTGCCCCTTGACTTTCTTTTAGTTCATGGCACAACTTTGGACCCATGTTTCCAATCAGTATTCAAGGATTATGATTTTCCCTTTTTTTCCCCCCGTAAATTGACCCTCATGAATCCAGGCTTTTGTTACCATACGTCCACAAAAGAGTCAACCCAGGTGGACTCTAACTCTCAATGAGAGACCGTCTGAGTTCAATGCTTCCGTAGACATCAGGGATAAACTAACTGAACCCCTCTCTGACAAGGTGACTTTGGTACCTTGCATAAGAACTGTTGGCCTCTCATCTCGGGCAGGAAAGGCTGGGCGGCCGGGGAAGAGGGAGGAGTGCTGGAACGTACTCAGTGGGCTGCTGAGTTAGCACCAGCCATTCCTTCCACCGTGTTTTCCGCCGGGGAAAGAGTTCTCTGTCATTTTGGGTAAGACTGCCATTCTCTGAAGCCCACTGCAGACTAACGATGGAATGGTTGTCTTTCTAGCCGCCCGCGGATAAAGCAGAAGGTGGCCCACGTGAGGAGCCCTTGGAAGCAAGCCCAGAACACCCTGTGGATGCCACCAGGGACCCCAGTCCTCCGGACGCTTTGGAGGTGGTGTCCGAACCGTTTGCCTCATCCAGCCCTCTTGCATGCTCTCTGATATCCCTGGGGCTGGCTGTACCGCGCACCGGCCGTTACCTCCAATTCCAGCCTCACATGATGCGACGAGAGGCCGTCTGCCTCTCCTGCTGCCTTAGGTCCACCCGTCTTGTCTCTGCTGTTTGGCTTGGGTGGTTGGTCCACTTTTTTTCCCCGCTGTCCTCAGCTCTGATAATCATGGCCCCTTCTCTCTTGCAAAGCTGATCTGCAAACAGTAATTCAAGCTGAGAGGCTGTGCGATGTTTTCTTGCAGCGTGAGCTTGGACGCTAGTGCACGGCGGGTCTAAAAAGAAGACCCTAATAGCTGGGAAACCTGGGGGGCCGGGGAACGCTTTGATCCAAATCGAGCATGCAGTGATTTCCTGTTGAAGGAAAGGAGAGATGCATTCTTCTGACGCTTCCTCGTAACAGATACTCTGCTCTTAAACTTCAGACTCTCCGGTGATGCAGCTAATGAAGGCGATGGCTAATGTATTTTCTCTCTCAATGATCTAATGACACCTTTTGATCTTTCCTAGCAAAAATACCTCTAGAGCTGAGTGTGGGGGCTTATGATGAAACTTACTGTTGATTTTTTGTATTGTGTCTGTTTTTAAGTCTAATTTTTTTTCATTGACGTGTACTCAGTTTACAATGTTAGTTTCTGGTGTCCAGCAGAGAGATTCAGTTATCTATATCCAGACAGACATATATATTTTTTCAGTTTCTTTCCCATTACGGCTCATGACAAGAAGTTGAATGCTGACTTGTGTCTTAGTCAGTGCGGGTTGCTGTAACAAAAATAGCATAGTCTGGATGAACAGGAGACACATTATTTCTCATAGTTCTGGAGGCTGGACGTCCGAGATCCCTTTCTCACCCATGCAGCATCTGGGTGGGACCTGTTTCAGCTTCACGGCACTCTTCTGTCTCTCTCTCTCTATATATAATTATAAATGTAATATATTATTAATTATAAATATAATTGATTATTAATAATACACATTACATTATAAATTATATTATATATTATTATAAATATAAATTATAACTATTATGTATTAGTATAAATATAAATTATAAGTATATTATATATTATTATAAATATATATTGTTATAAATACATATATTAATTATAAATAATACATTGTATATTATTAGTTATAAATGTATTACATATTGTTAATTGTAACTACTAGTGTATATTATTATAAATATAATATATATTATTAGTTATAAATAATACATATTATACTATTATAAATAATATATATTATTAATTATGAATATACTATATATTATATATTAATTATAAATACATTATATATTATTAATTATAATATATATGATTATTATCACCACATGCATATTTTTTAAAATTCTTTTTCTCATTTTTGGTAAAGAATGTTAAAGCAAATGTCTCTTTTATTTTTGTCTGTCTGTTTCAGTGCCAACCAAAAGTCAGGTGTGTGTGTGTGTGCGTTTACACGTTTGTATATTTATATATTCTCTTATACGTATTCCCTAACAGGATGGAAATCCTGCCGTGGCAAGGGGAAAATAAAATATATTGAAACTGTGATTTCAAGTGGTCTTGGCAGGCAGTCCAGAACATCCTAGGCTTTTTTTACGTGAGGAGAATGTTCTCTTTGTTTCACATAGTTGGCTCACCTACGGCGAGACAGAGAGCTTTTGTGGGTGGGTGGGACTGTTAAGTCGATCGTGTAAGTATGTGTGTGAAATGGCCAGATGTTAAAACACATCTCAGGGACTAGTGGCCACAGGTACAACTGTAATTTATAAAATGTCAAAAAATCTCAGGCCAGAGAAGCATCTTCTCGTCGGAAGGTTCTATTCGATTCAGCGTGTGTTTGATTCAAAAGCAAAGTTCTAACAGTTGGCATTGTCCCCCTGAGGAGTGAGGTTCATGTGTAGAACGGATTGCTGAGCCGGGTGGGTGCCCGGGCTGGCTTTCAACGTTTGATGATAATGTCTTCTTCTTTTTTTTTTTTCAATTGAGGTAGAGTCAGTTTACAGTGTAATGTCAGTTTCCGGTGCACAGCATCATGTTTCAGTCACACACATACATACAGACATTCCTTTTCATATTCTTTTTCATTATAAGTTACTACAAGATACTGATTATAGTTCCCTGTGCTGTACAGAAGGACCTTGTTGTTTATCTATTTTATATACGGTAGTTAGTATCTGCAAATCTTGAATTCCCAATTTATCCCTTCCCAGCCCTTTTCCCCTCTAGTAACCATAAGTCTGTATTTGATGTCTGTGAGTCTGTTTCTGTTTTGTAAATACATTCGTGGTTTTTTTAAGATTCCACATAAGAGAAATTATATGATATTTGTCTTTCTCTGTTATGATTTACTTCACTTAGTATGATAACCTCCAGGTCTGTCCATGTTGCTGCAGATGGCAATAGTCCATTCTTTTTTATGACTGAGTAGTATTCCATTGTATACGTATACCACAACTTCTTTATCCAGTCCTCTGTGACGACAATTTCTAAAACTATCTCTGTGGACTTGTCTCCCCTAGGTGGACCTGGCCATCTCTGTGTCCGAGATTTCCATTGAAGAAAAAGTCAAGGTGCTTAGTCCCGAGGAACAGCGGAGGAAGTGGGAGGAGGGACGTATCGATTACATGGGGAAGGACGCCTTTGCCCGCATTCAGGAGAAGCTGGACCGCTTTTTGCAGTGAGGTGGTATGTGGTCACACCATGTTCTGTTACATGGTCCTGTTCCGTAAACACCTCGAGCCCTTCCAAAGGGAAAGGCTCTCCAACAATGTGCCTTTATTGACGGTTGACCAACTTGAGTGCCTCACCTATATAACATGGTCCATCAGGAACCCAGCTTGAAGTCCCATGGGATCCCAGCCACCCATGTCTCCTGGCTTCCCTGGGAAGTCTCTTTTCTTTACACTTTGTCCGCAGAAGGGAGCAGAAATAAACCTCTGGTCGACTGCAGGTAAGGGTCTCTGGTCTTGCTCGAAGGAGCTCAGGGATGCTTCCTGCGACAGAGTCTACAATATGTATCCTGTGGAGGGTTAGATGTCTCTGCAGAACGTATGTCCCAAAGCTCATAGCACTCGTCTATGCATTTAGTCCCCTGGGAACCGTCCAGAATGAAATGTTCTTTCCTTTAAGACTAAGTAGATGTTCGGCCATCTTGAGCGTGACTCTGGTTTGGACTTTGCAGTGCGTGGCGGAGAAGCACCACGGCTGTGGTTTCTCTTCCACATAACGCAGCAGTGATGGACTGCCCCTTTTGGACCTGTCAGAGGTGTTTGGAAGGAAGATTCTAACTGACCTGGGAGAGGTAACCTCTTCAGAACTGGTTTACCTGCTGGTTTAGAAGAACCAAGGGTTGATGGTGAGTGATGTCTGGTGACCACGTGCTCATGGTCACAGGATCTGAGAGGCTCCTTGTCTAGCGGCAGCTCCATTCGAGGTCCAGGACTCGGGACTGCCCTTTGCTGGGTCTCGCTACCTCACTTCAAGATAACAGATGGAGTGACTGCGTTCCCCCAAGCCATTTCAACTCAGTTATTTCAGGACAGTTCTCAATTTGTGACTCTGGACGCTTTATTCCAGGAGAAGGCCTCAGCTTCAGACGTACCCCAGGTCTGCGAGTTAACGCAGTATGGTGGAACCGCTCACGGGGTCTCCCTGTGCATGGCCGCCACAAGGATGATTAAAGACAGATGTCTGTTGCTGTACTGAAGACAAGAAATGCGGCTTGGAAACGTTTGGATGGTTTATTGATCATAGATGTCCTGTTGAAACTCATGAGTGGACACAGGTTTTGAAGAAGGGGAGAGGGCTGTGTTTAAGGTTCATTCAGCGTGTCTGCTCCCACTGTTTATCCCTGAGCGGTTTAGCCCTCTGGGTCAGGGGATCTGGGTGAACTTAGGACGTCACTTGTGGCCTTAGCTTGTGCGAAGTGTGAGCGACCGGGGAGGTTTTTGTCTCTGAGTGTGTGGGTGCTTAACGATCTACAGTCATGCTTGGTTTCGCACACAGGATGCTTCAGGGTCTAACTGGAAATAGCCATAGGGACATAGCCTTCGGCAGGTTGATGAGATGGTCACCAGCCATCAGGGTAATCCTGTACACTGGTTCTGGGGAAAGAACATTGGTGCTGTGTGCCGTGGGGTTGACTGTGAGCAACAAGCTGAGTCTGACATCCACAACTGGTGGTGAGCAGCTGAGCCTGCTCCAGCTCCTCTGGAGAAGAGGGTTCATGCGCATGGGTGGTGGCTCATTGGCCGAAGGTGTACACTCAATACGGACTTCTGTCTTGCATCTACGGTTCATCCCCATGTTGGGACAAGGGCTCGCACATTGCAAGTAAAATTTTAGAACAGCAATGGGGTCTCCTTCTGGTGTGTGTTTGCATGTGTTCTGAGCCATCAGAATAATATTTATGTAAATGTGGCTGCCTTCGTCCTGCAGTAAATTCAAATGGCCCAGTGGGTTTTTCAGAATTGATAGTAGCAGTAAAGTGAGGAGAACTATTTATTTCGTACCCTCGGAAAGCTCATAAGGTCTTTCTAGGGAAGCTGCCCATTTTCCTAGCATTGGCTTCTCAGTTTCACCATCCACCCACCCATCCACCCATCCATCCATCCATTCCACCATCCACTCGTCCATCCATCCATCCATTCATTCATCCACCCATCCATCTACTGACCTATCCATCCACTCATCCATCATCCTCCATCCATTCACCCATCCATCCATTATCCACCACCCATCCACCTATCCATCCATCCACCACACCATGCATCCATCATCCATCCATTCATCCACCCATCCATCTGTCCACCCATCCAGCCACCCACCCACCTATCCATCCACTCATCCATCATCCCTCCATCCATTCACCCATCCATCCACTCATACATCCATCCACCCACCCACCCATCCATCCATCATCCATCCATTCATCCACCCATCCTTCCATCCATCTACCCATCCACATGGTTGTTGAGTTCTCTCTAAATGGCAGTCAGTGTGACATGTCCTCAGTCAGTATATGGAAACATAGGAGAACCTTCAAGAACATTTTAAGGACTTCTAAATAGCACCCCTCAAAAAGGTATAATCCTGTGTTATTTCCTGCAGAATCCCAGTCCCAGAACCCATGCTGTGTAATGAGTACAGAATTATGTAAGTCGAATCCCCGAGAGATGTGATTCAATCTATACTATCACTAATGTTTTGGTACACGGAAAGCAGTTTTTTTTTTAATTTAATTGTTCTAGAAATAGTATCCAGTTATTCTTGGCCAGGATGAGATGGCATGGGGAGAAAACGCATTTCCGTATGTGCTGACGCAGTCAGGTGGATTAAGACGTGTAGATTTAGATGAGTGCAATACGACATTTTTGTTCCTCCTAGTTGCTTGGTCTGAACCCGCTGACACCGCCGCCGTCTGGGGCTTGAATGCCCATGGGTTGTCCCAGTGCTAACGAGTTTTCGTTTGGAATTGCCAACTCGTTGGAGGAAAATGGAGTTTCCTGTAGCTATGACACCTAACTTGGGAAAGGTAGATCAGTTCTCCTTTCTGAGTTCCTAGCTCTCTATTCTCTAGCACACAGTGCAATTTGTTCTTAGTGTCTTACGCTTGGAAACTGGATGTTTCATACACCAAGTCTTCCCAACACTCAGAAACAAAACTGGAATATTTTCTTGGCACAGACCACATCTGTTGAAAGACTTCGCTGCAGCGTCAAATTAGACCTAGGACGTGAAATATATTTTGCAGATAAAACACATCCTCTTTTTCTTTTTTTAAATTGAAGTACAGTGAGTTACAGTGTGTCAATTTTTGGCGCACAGTGTCCCAGTCATGCATATACATACATATATTTGTTTTCATCTTCTTTTTCATTAAAAGTTACTATAAGATATTGAATATCGTTCCCTGTGCTGTGCAGAACAACTTTGTTTTTTAATCTGTTTTTATATAGAGTGGCTAACATTTGCAAATCTCAACTCCCAAATTTATCCCTTCCCACCCCCTTTCCACTGGTAAACATGATTGTTCACTATGTCTGCACGTCTGTTTCTGTTTTGTAGATGAGTTTATAATGCCCCATTTTTTAAGATTCCACGTATAAGTGATATTATGTGATATTTGTCTTTCTGTGTCTGACTGACTTCACTTAGTATGATGATCTCCAGGTCCATCCATGTTGCTGCAAATGGCATGATTTCACTCTTTTTTACGGCTGAGTAGTATTCCATTGTGTAAATGTAACAATGTCTTTATCCAGTCATCTGTGGATGGACATTTAGGTTGTTTCCCCGTCATGGCTATTGTAAATAGTGCTGCTGTGAATATTGGGGTGTTTGTAGCAGAAACACATCTTCTTTTAAGTTTAGGAGCCAAAAAATATACCAGTGGTATCTTGAAGACAGCACCGACTGTTAACCATGATGATGAACAGAAAGAATCAGTATGTTTAATATAATCAGATCATCTGGGGACACACTATAGACCCCTCTGAAATATTTGAGGCTCCCCTGACATTTCCGGGTTACACAAGAGTTTACTTCCCCACGGAAGTTCAGTACCATCTCATCAGCAAGAGACTCTTTGCCCGGCGGGATGTACCCCATCAGCTCTTTCTTGGATTCCTCCCTTCCTTACTGGCTCCTGTCCCGACGCAGCCCTCGTGACTGGGTTTCCCTGGCCTCCATCCAAGGAGAACACAGACGTTCAATTTGTTTTTGCATTCGAGTGGGTTTCTTCCGCGGTTGTGGTCGGAGTGAAGGAACAAAGGCTTCCCAGAATTTAGAGCAGAGAGTCTGCAGAGCGTCTGGAAAGAGCCAGGCTAGTTTGTGGGTGTTCTTTTCGGGTGGGGGGCGGGGAGCTGGTTATGGGTGGCTGGTAAAGAAGCCCGCTGGGGCATCGCGTCCTTGAATAGACCTTACAGGGTATCACAGACACCAGGTCTCCTGCTTAGGGAGTCTCTGGTGGCTTTGTGAGTCTGGCAGGGGGGCGGTCCTGCAAGCGGTCTCGGAGGGCTGGCTGCTGCCTGTGGTCCCCTGTCAGCACCGCACCGGCGTCTCCATCCTTGCTTTCCTTTCCCGCGGCTGGCACCTTCCCCCCAAGCTGATGTCCGCTTGGTGTCTCTCCTTGGCACCCTACAGGGAGGCGTCCCCTGCTTCCCCACCTACCATCTGTCCCTTTAAGTCGGGCAGGCTGACCTCTGACACGGGCGGACTGGAACACTGGATATTCTCAGTGCGGTGAGGAAGCATTCGGGGTTTCCTTGCCGATGGCACAGGGTCCTGTCTCCCAGTCGGGCGTCTGTGTTCTGGCCACCAGAACTCGCCCAGATGGCGTCAGCAGGATGAAGAATGTGTGGTGAGCCCACGTCTGCGGCCATCCAGAGATAAAGGGGCAGCTGAGGAGCTGGTGTGGGGAAGAGGCAAGACCTGGAACCGCGTGTGGGAGGCACGGGGCGGTTTTCTCTGCCCCACCCAATCTGGACCAGGTGCCCTTTGGTGCCCTTCAGCTCCAGAAGGCAGAATATCTTTTTTTCCTCTCTATTAAAGTACAGTCAGTTACAATGTGTCAATTTCTGGTGCACAACATCGTGTCCCAGTCATGCATATACATGCATGGATTCCTTTTCATATTCTTTTTCATTATAGGTTACTGCAAGATACTGAACAGAGTTCCCAGTGCTGCACAGTATGAATTTTTTCTTTATCTGTTTTCCACATCGTAGTTAACGTCTGCAAATCTCGAACTCCCAATTTATCCCTTCCCACCCTGTTTCACCCTGGTTACCATAAATTTGTTCTCTGTCTGTGAGTCTCTTTCTGTTTTGTAAATAAGTTCATTTGAGTTTTTTTTAAATAATTAATTTTTTTTATTGATGTACAGTCAGTGTACAGTGTTGCATCCATTTCTGGTGCACAGCATCATTGTTCAGTCATACATGTACATGTGTATATTCGTTTTCCTATTCTTTTCCATTACAGGTTATTACAAGGTATTGAACATAGTTCCCTGTGCTGTACAGTAGGACCTTGTTGTTTATCTATTTTTTTTATATACAAACGTCTCTTTTTAATCACCCTCAGGAAGAAAAAAAAATGGACAAGTGTTCTGATTTCTCCACATTCTCGCTAGAACTTGTCCTAGTATATTTTGATTTTTGTTCTTGCCATCGGGTGGGTGTGGAGCAATCTCCACTGTGGATTCCTTTTGCATTTCTCTGATCGGTAGTGATGCTGAGCATCTTTGCATGTACAGAATACCCATTCCTGTCACCTTTAGTAAAGTGTCTATTTACCTCTTCAGCCCATTTATTAGATCCTTTGCCTTATTATGGAGTTGCATGCAAATTTGCAAATATTCTCTCCCAGTCTGCAACTGCTCTTTTCATTTTCTTAATGGTCTCTTTGAAATGTGATAAATGCTCATGTATCATTTTTTTTTTAAATAGGCGTTCCGTGTCTTATCTAGAAAATCTCTTCCTAGCCCCAGAGGGCAAAGATTTTCTCTTAAGTTTTCTTCAGAAAGTTTTGTGCAGGTCTGTGTTGGATTTTGAGTTCATTTTCGTGTTGTGGTGTGAGCTGAGGGTCTAAATTTGTCTTTTTGCACGTGGCTATCCAATTGTGTCAGCACCGTCTAGTGAGCCCTCCACTGGATTTCTTTAACAGCATGATAAATTTTATTTTATTTTATTTTATTTTATTTTATTTTATTTTATTTTTATTTTATTTTATTTTATTATTTTAATGGAAGTATAGTTGATTTACAGTGTTGTGTTACTTTCTGGGGTAACAGCATAGTGACTCAGGTATACATGTAAAAATATTCTTTTTCAGATTCTTTTCCATTATAGGTTACTACAGGATGTTAAATAGAGTTCCCTCTGCTGCACAGTAGGACCTTATTGTTTATCTGTTTTATATATAGTAGTGTGTATCTGCAAATCTTGAACTCCGAATTTGTCCCTTCCCCACCCTTTCCACTTTGGTAACCATCAGTTTGTTTTCTGTGTCTTTGAGTCTGTTTCTGTTTTGTAAACAAGTTCATTGTATCGGGTTTTTTTTTAGATTCCACATGTGAGATCATATGATATTTGTCCTTCTCTGTCTGACCTATTTCACTTAGAATAATGATTTCTTGGTCCATCTGTGTTGCTGCAAGTGGCATGATTTTATTCTTTTTCATGGCTGAGTAGTATTCCATTGTATAAATACAGCACAGCTTCTTCATCCAGTCATCGGTCGATGGACATTTAGGTTGTTTCCATGTCTTGGCTACTGTAAATAGTG